CAGCCAGACCTCTTGTCGTCGAATGTGTTAATTTGTTGAAGTATGTGCCAGCTGCGTTTAGCCAGACCTCTTGTCGTCGAATGTGTTCATTTGTTGAAGTATGTGCCAGCTGCGTTTAGCCAGACCTCTTGTCGTCGAATGTGTTAATTTGATATTCAATCAAGTGTAAGTATGTTGTTTGAAAGTGTAAAGCAGGAAAATGTAACAAGGAGAAAATGTTTATTATTTGTAAACTTCAGAACTTGTGTCGTTTTAGTGAAAAAGTGAGACCGAAGAGGACGCACGAATGTGTCGAAACTAGTTTCTCTGATATCAGACTTCTGACAGTTTGTTCCGTTTACTGTGTTTTTTATCACTAATTGCTGTACACGATATTGTGTTCTTTTATTATTATTATTGTGTCGTTTTCTTGATGTACTTTAACGCTTCCTAAACTCCTTGTCAATTAAATTATTCGATCCTTTCTTTTCGCAGAGCTATCACACATACATGTAGCTCTGCAAACAAACATATCACAGAATGAGTACAAAGATATGTTGATGCTGTGGTCAGTACTGGTCGAATGCCTTTCTTTGATCTCTTCTTTATGTTCTGCCGAGGTGTTGATATTCCTGCAACAAGAATATAACATTTGATATGTTTAACAAGAAACTTATATTTTCATTTGTATTTAATTTTTTATTGATTTTGTTTCACATGGTTCTTGTACATTTAATACTACTTAATTAATATGTAGTGTTGTGCAATTCTGAATTGTTTGGTCGTGTTTTCCAATAAGTATGGTTTATCTGTATTTTTGCCAATTTTTTTAATATCGTTCTACTCTAAGTGAGTGCATTGGTTATTGTTGTTATTTTGGACACTAATCCAGCAAATTAATCAAATAGTGGAGAGAGAAATTTAATGTTTTTTATTATTTTAGTGTCTTATGTCACTGTGTAATTGTTTCTTTAATAGATTCCTTTATAACACAACCAACCTAGCATGCTCAAACTGTGAATCCAAGAGTTTATGGTTCGCAGCCTGTTGCCGCAAAAACACACTAACACTTTTAGATCATGAGTGAGTTAACAGTCAAATACCACTGTTTGGTCAGACAGTATTAGCCCCAGGGTTGCTGGTGAGAACTGTTTACAAGCTTCCTTCCCTCTGTTCTACGAGTTCAAAATTAGGGACAGTTATGCCCTTTCTGTAGTGCTGGGTGCAATCTGAAGGAAAGCATAACATAAATATCTATATTTCATAGCATTATTACTCTTTGTGTTATGGTACCAAGTGAGTTGATTAAACGTTTTTTTTTAACAGCAGCAAAATAGAAAAAAAGACTGATTTTTTTTCCTCGCCAGGAAGTTAGAATTTGAAAAATACCATAACAATTTTAAGGCTGTATTAGATTTCCAGGGCCTCACTACAAAACAGTAAACATTCTTAAAGCAGTAATTGTGCAATGAAACTCACCTATGATAAAGTTTACAGGTATAAACGAACGAATATTCGTCTTTAAAGCTTAATTGTTCCATTCTGATTTGTTTGTTTGTTTTTCGTAAGTTAAGAAAACACACAAAAATTTTATTTTTTATTTTCCAAATAGGCATCATAACATTATCTTATTATTTTTTGTTGCACGGTGTTTTTCAGTTAGGATTTTACAATTTTGAAAAACAGATATTCTAAAATGTAAACAAAATGGACAGAGTTTTTAACAAAGAAATGATCTTTAAGTTGAAATACTAATAAAAGATACATCAATAAAATAATCTACATGGAAAGTTATCATGTTATACCCCTTTTTCCGTTGGGCCACCAACTACCAAAAAATTAATTTGTGATACAATCGTTATGGATATGAAAATATTTAAATAAAAATATTTTCACGATATTATAGTTTGCATAAGTACATCGGTGGATATAAATTGAAGTGTTATGGACTACAGCAAAGTATTGATACACTCATATTATAAAAATGTGTTCAGATTTAGAATTTCCAAGATGAGGATATCCTTTGTACTTAGTGGAAAAAAGAGAAATATGGATCAAACTGAAGCATCATGACCATTCACAAAGAGATCTACAACAAGTCATACCTAGCTGTGGTAAGCAAAGTTCAGTGCTTTGTAACAAATAAGAATACAGAAACACAAATATCAGTGGCAAAATTCATTCACTTTCCAATTGAAACAGTTTCAAACATAATCAAGAAGGATCTCCGTTGGAAAAGTGACCCAAGTCATGTTTAGAGAAGCTACTATATCTGTTCAACCATCGCATACCTCAAATGCTAGAGAATGATGACATTCTGGTCAAGTCACCAGATGGACTTCCTTGTGATCGGGGTGTTTTACTGCGGAACTTTTGTCCTCGTATACTAGGTGGAATATGGAAAGCAATAGAGAACAGTGGTATACACGAGAGCCTTACGACAGAGCCTTTTGAATTTGAAAATCAGCTGTAAGGCTATTACATGACTGAATGTGACATCATGGATTGTGGTGAGGCTCCAAAATTCCTTTAATATAGATTAAACTGAAGCACCATGACCATTCAGAAAGAGTCCTGCGACGCGTCATACGCAGCTACGATAAGCAAAGTACAGTGTCTTGTAACAGTTGAGGATATAGAAGTGAAAATGAATAGTTTAGGAAGAAAACATTTAAAAAACAAAAAAATGTCTAAGGACAGTATACAAACCAATTATATAATCTTAAAAAACGAATAGTGGGATTGACCGTCACATTATAACGCTCCCACGGCTAAAAGAGCGAGTATGTTCGGTAATGAGAATTAGAACCCACGACCAGCAGATGGCGAGTCGAGCTCCCTAACAACCAAGTTATGTCAGGCCAACATTAAATGAATGCTACAATTTTAAAGTACATAACTAAGTAACAAATTGTTGAAATAGTATTAGAATTGTTGTGTGCGCTCAATACCTGGAAGGATAAATTTTTCTTTTTAGGGACTAATAAGTTGTACAATAATTACTTTGAAATGCTCCGATACAGCATTTAATTTGTATTAAAATAGTTAGTATGCTACTTTGTAACTTAATATTATAATGATTATCACTGGTTTTAAACTAAAAATTGTCTAAAACTTAGCATTGGGCATTAAACCACCTGCCCTGAGATCATCCATTCTCAGTAACCATGTTCCATGTCCTGCATTGCTATTATCTTGAAAACTGGCGAGTTTATCTACACTACCTCACCACTATTTGGTGCCCACACGCTCCAACTCCCAGCTTCTCTGGCGAAACCTGCCCGAGATATTCTCGGGAGTTCATCTTCTTCCTGAAGTCTTCGACCGGAACTGCAACATTATGTCTTGGTGCACGATAACATCATCACCATCATGACGACGCAACGTAAGGAAAAATGCTTTGTCATCACACTTTGACTGCTGGATATTATCTCGAACTTGAATGTCCAATGACAGTGTGGCGTGCATGAATGGATTAACGAGATTCCCACTGTCCCTATCTACTATCTAGCGAAACCACAGCCAAGGGAACGTCATATTTCAGATTGTCTAGCTCACCAGACGCAGTTTGAGAAAGTTTTCTGTGTTTCTTCTGAAACTCTCACTGTATCGTAACAAGATTTCACCTGCTCCATCTGTTGGTATTGTGATTAAATACGCTGCATCTCACAATTAACCTCAACTTTTGGTAACATTATGTGGCGCCTTGCGATGCTGGGGCTTGTCCAAAGCGCCTTGAATTCCTATACGAACGATCTTAGTAAGTTTGGGATATTCAGGCTACTCGCTGTCACCATGACCGTTCTATACTTTACAATGATCCTGCACTGGGGCTTCCAGGGCCTAGCATGGCCCGGTGGTTAGGGCGCTCGACTAGCAATCTGCGGGTCGCGGTTTTGAAACCCCGTAACCAAACATGCTGGGTATTTTAGCCCTGGTGGCGTTATAATGTGACGATAAATCCCACTGTTCGTTGGTGAAAGAGTAGCCCAAGAGTTGGCGGTGGGCGATGTTGACTAGTTACCTTCCGTCTAGTCTATCACTGGTAAATTCAGGACTGTAAGCGCAGATAGCCCTCGTGAAGCTTTGCGCGAAATTATAAACAAACAAACAATTAAGGGTTCCCGTGACTTC